ATTAGTTCGCCATTGGGGAAAGCAGTATAGCAATTCCTGAGCTAAGGACATGCATTTTTGTATACGGACATTCAGATCCATTATCAGCTATGATTGAAGACAACCCCTAGTCCATCCGTTTTCTGTCATGGATGAAAGGTCTTCTGATTTGTCTCACCGATACACCCTGTTCTTTCAGACTATCAAGTACATCTCCCAAGATGCCAAGAGAAGACGGACTATTTACCAGATAAGAGAGGTGGGATTCCACTTTTATCACATACAACAACCTTGTTACCTTCCAAGCGTACAGCTGTTTATGTATCAGGGTCCCAACATAAAATTAAAGTCAAACATTGAAGAATTTAGTCAAAGAAAATCTTCAAACATCAATTAAGAGAACAAAGGGAGAGATCAGGGCCTAGCAACACCAAGCTTCTGACAACCACGGAGACCTAAGGATGGTAAAGGATACTGAAAGCCCAATGAGGCCTGGAACTACGGAGGAGGGTCCCATTTGGGACAACCAGATCTGCACAGACAGTTGCTGTCCAAAACAGCTTTGAAGCCAAGAGGAAATCGCGAATTAGAACCCAAACCTCTTCCCACCAACCTTCTCTCCCCTAGTCAGGGTCTCCCAGTGGCCAAACCCACCCAGATGTGTTTCCAAGGGAGACTGGGTGATGTAGCTCACAAGAGTTAGCTTAATTGGGGCACAAAGCCAAGTGCAGAACAGATCAGAACCAGCTCACTTGGGGACCGATGGGGAAGTGAGCATCTTAAAGGGATAAGCTGTAAAACACTCCTAGAAGACAAGCTCTGTACCCCATCTTAAGTCCCACACAGGCAGGAAACAAATGGACTGGAGTAGAGGACAAAAAAGGAAAAAGCCGAGTTTCCCCAATAACAGTAATTCTGCCATGAATCCTCACTGATTCAGATAGAATTCCAATATTCATCCAAAAAGTGAAATCCAAGCCACATGAAGCTAGCAGAAGTACAGATCTCTCCAACTGTGCAATTCACCATTGTCAGCTTTCACCTAGATGTTCTAAGCATCCTGCCTCTAGGCTTGGTACAGCTTCTACATCTTTGCTCCCCAAACCAGATCATTGTTCTTCATCCTGTTACCAGGGAGGTTAGCAACTTCTCTAACGGTTAGCATTTCCTAATGGTGTTAATCCTGATTGAAGCAGCATTATCCTGTTAGGAGGCACCAATGTCTCAGCTTGGGAAAACTGTTGGGGATTATTTGAGAAAAGAGTCACTCCAGTGACTATTATAACACCTTCCCTTCAACTTGCTTCGTTTAACATAGCACTGAGGTTTGAAAATGGTTCATGCTATACAAGTGTATTAGTCATCAGAAAGTTGTCTGGCAATAGGGAAAGGAATATGGCTTGAAGAGGACATTGTATGAATTCATTTTAAGAACTCTAGCCCTATATAATTAACCCATTTTATGTAAGTGAAAAATCTCCTCGAAGTTGTTTCCAATGTAACTAGGTCACCAGGCCATGTTCCCTGGCCACTTGACATCTCACATAGCCAAATGGGTAGCTGGCATACCTGGTGTCCCAACTCATGCTCCATGATACTTCTGGTTCCTGCTGATTTCTGGATTCATCATCAATTCAGTTCAGGCTGACAACACTTCACCTAAAATGAGCCCCTCCAATGTTTGCTTTCTGCTCCAAGGCTCTGATACTATGGATGCAGGTAGGAGCTTTTTGACTGACAAAGACAAGTTATCTTTCTGCTTTTGATAGTGTTCTACATTTTATACAAAATCCACTGACCCTCTTGCATTTTGCAGCTTTGCTGCCATTTTAACCTCCTGTGTTTAAATCCTACAAAATTGTTTTATACAGTTAATATCAGTGTGCATTTACATTCGTGTGTTTGCTGGTTTTGCTTTTTCAGTTCTGCCATTTCCTGCAAGACTTTTCTGCCCAGAGGATCCTTCAGTATTTGTTTGCAAGTGATGTAATCCTGTCAAACTTTCCATCTTTGTTTTTGAAGGATGTTTTGTGCTAGTTTTGTTTGAGATTGGAAGTTGTTTGCAGCACACTGGAAATGTCCATTATTGTCTATTGGCTTCTGTCATTCCGTCAGAAGAGTTGTCAATCTTCAAGATAACATGCTTTCCCCTATCTCTGGCTACTTTTAAGTATTTGATCTATAGTAGTCTTGCTATGATGTGCCTAGATGCAGTTATTTCAGGGGGTTGGCAGAGCTCCTTGTATGTTTAAGCTTCTTGGTCATTATTACCCTCCATCTTTTGTCCTTCTGTCCATCACCATCTATACCTCTCAACTATCCTAGTTCTGGGATCCCGATTACTTATGTTGTCTTCTGACCACGACTCATACCGCACATCTACACTGTTTTCTTCCATTCTGTAATGTTTGTACTCAGTTTAGAGGTTCAGTCTGTCTTAAAATATTGGCTATAACTGAATTATGAAGTGGAATCCATCTATCAAGTGCTAACCTTAATATTGAGCTTACTAAGCTTTAAAGCAACTTGAAGCTGGTAGGTGCTCCTCTCAAGCAAGTAATTTGAGTTAAACTGAACACATCTGGAGGCCTTAGAATTCAGAGCCAGTCCTGCTCTACTGCTAGCAGAACCATTACCTGTCTCCCCCTGCTTTTCAGGACATCCACATTCACCACCCTGTCAGATTGTTTCTAAGGGAAGCCAGACTTTAACAAGAACCGTTCATACTCAGCCAGATGAGGTACAGCCTCTCATCTCAGCCGAAAACTGAGGAATATGCCTGTATAATTGAGTAAATTATGAATTAGAAGTCACTTAATCAGAAACCCTATTTCAGTAAACTAAGTTTCCCAACGTTGCTTAGGCATGATACATGTCCGATCACCTCTAGCTTGGGAGACAGTCCTGGGAGGTCATCACCACTAGTTGCCCATGTTCTAATCCTTGAACTAGAAACAGATTAGCCTTAGTTTCAGCACTTTACCACTCAAGGGGACTTATTTGGAAGTCAATTCAGTTGATCTCACCAGTATAACTTTCTTACTTGGTTACCGACCATCCTTATAGCTTAGCTTTCCCGTATCACAATTTTCTTACTTTGAGGCTTACAAGCCATTTCAGAAGCCTTTTTGGAGCTCAATAACAAATGGAATGGTTAGACTCAATGTGTGAGAGGCAGCCATCTGACAACTGCCTCGCAAGCTTCAGAAGGTTGGTCTTAAAGTAGATAGTATAGGTGATGGGCCAATATTGAAGAGGGCCTAAGCCCATCTAATTACAGTTCAAGGAAGAAGTCTTAGTAGAAAGGTAAACTGATGGAACTGCGACAGTGACATCCATTTGATCTTGTTCAATTCCTGACATGCAGCTTCTAAGCCGTTGAAATCTCCATAGTTATAGGCCTGTCTTATAAGCTTATGAGATGACTGGTGGCTACAATCCTCAGATAGCTTCAGGATGGGGCTGGTCACAGACACCAGAGCATGATCCAGAAGGAGATGAAGACTGAGTTGACCATGGGTGGGCAATGTCGGTTATGCCTATATGATGACACCTCTACAAAACCAAGAACTGGGTTCTTACTGTCAAATTGCTGAATACAGAGGTGCCTGGAAGTGGCACACCCAGAAGGTATTTAAGTCCCTTTCCACGGGTCTTGCCCTACCCGCTGTCATGGATAAAGCTTGGGTTCTGTGAACTATTCTAGCAAGTTGAACTCAAGAAGGGTGTATTGGGAATATCAGTTTATAGTCCATTTGTCAGACTCATGCTTGACATCCCACAATGTGCAACTGGCATCTGAAGGGGGATGTCTTGTGTGACTGAGCACTTACGTAGGATTGTTATATTGTCTCCTACATCAGATTGGAGTTGAGTTACAAGACACTCAGGTGGTGTCTGATGGAGAGCTGCTTAGTGTTGAACACCTTACGTACATCTAATGTACGAAGTGGTCAGTTGTGAGGATAAGAAATACACTGCGTTTTCCCAATCTTCGTTAACGCCTTAGTGCCAGTGTGGTGGCCCTTTTCAATATGTAATGTTTTCAATCCAGAACTTCAGCTTACACACTGCCATCATTACTGTCCTACACTTGATTTTGACAGCCATAAGCAGCAGCCAAGTATTGTTTAATTACACAAGATTCCCTTTGTGGAATTCTGTGCAGAGCCTTTGTTTACACATCAGTGTTAATAGCTCAAAGTTACCCAACTCCTATGCAATTCAAGCCTTTGAATGCACTGTGGCAATATTCAATCCTTTCCCTCAGACATTAGATTTCAAACTTCACAAGTTTTATTCATAGACCATCTTAATCTCCATCTGCCAGTTACTCATGGGGAGTGCATACATCGTGCTTTTGGTAGAGCACTGAGCACAAGTGAAACTGACGTTTCTGCAAGCATTCACAGGATTGAGCTTAAGGCTTGAGCAGATTTAAAGGAAGCATGCCAAAGTCCAAGTCCAAGTCACATTCATTTGAGGGAGCTAAGATAGCCATCCTGTGAAAGTATGTCCAGGCACTGAGAGTTTCAGGAACCTATTTCCCTGCAGAAATCTCATAAGCCATCTTTCAGTGTCAATGTTACTTTCCTGTCCCCATAGTCACCTTTCCAGTCTTTCAAGCTTGAAAGAAGCATACCCTTTGCTCTGATCCATTAGTCAACAGTCAGGTAAAGGAAGATAGGGACAAGCAGCTAAAACCTAAGTAGGGGATCTTGTTAGTGTGGGCAATGAGTCTGACCAAGCCAGAGCCAAGTACACAGACAAGTGGATGGTTAACAGAAACCTCGGCCGTTCCCGTCCAGACTATTTCTTTGCAGCCCAGGGCTGATAGGTACAAGACCAGTCTGAGCTTTGCTTCAAAACATCCAAGAAGTTAGTTTTGTTCATCTAAATGTTTCCCACTTACGCATCTTACATTCCAGTTAGTAGTGTCTTTTTTTTTCCCTCTTTTAACACAAAACTGGTTTTTTCCTCTTATTTAACACAAAACTGTTTTTTTTTTTGTGTGTGTGTGTGTGTGTGTGTGTGTGTGTGTGTGTGTGTGCAATGTACCTCATTGCACAACCAGTACCACAGCAGGGAACCCTTCTCGGCACCACCACTACATTTTCAACTGAGGCATTTATCCCAATCCTTCCCCTCAGCCACTATTCCAACCTTCTTTGGAGGACATTCCCCCTTCATATAGGCAGTTCATATCGTTTTAATCCCTTACGTACCTGTATGGCTACCTTCCCCTGTTTGTCCCAGGCCTCACAGGTGGTATTTGTACAGCAGCTTGAGCTATACAGTGCCAACAAGCCTGACCTTCATTGTATGAGTTTAGGAACCAAAAATCTGTTTCCACAGCCAAGATAGAAGACCATAAAAATTGGGTTGAAAGCTTCCCTATGGAAAGGTTATCAGTGATCTGTATTTGAAAAGGCCATGTCCCCTCCCTGGTAGACAAGTCTAAGTGACCCTGTCATGTAATGCACAGCTTTACATGCACAGCTGGACAAAGCAGTTTAAGTTGCTAGCCAGAAGCGAGAACTTGGTCCTGAGGAGTTTTGACAAACTTTCCTAACCACGCTGATTATTTCTGCTCAACTTCTACCTATCCAAACACGAGATATTGGTGACTAGATATCCAAAGTTTACTCCAGTGACCCAAGGCAACTATACTTGAAGATTAGAAACTTCAGCTCTTTCTTATGTAATCAGGCAGAGAATATGGAAGACCACTGGCTGGAAACAGAACTGACTTCCCAAAGCACAAAAAGCAGGTTTGTCTTAAGTACACTCCAAGTTCTGTAAGAGCTTTCAAAACAAATTCCTGGAAGTGCCCTTCACTGATATTCCCCATCCCACACTCCAGCTATGTGAAATGCTGGCACACAGTAAGTCCAGGTGAGGCTCGTGGATCCTCAGGCTGACACTTCTGTACTTTTCTGGCAAGCAAGGCTTGGGTTTGTCTTCCCAGCTAGGCAAGACAGATCTCCTGGAAAATGTTCTCCTGTTGCACTGGCTGCTTCTCTTGGGGGCCCCAGACCCTTCCACTGGTTCGTTGCTAGCGCCACCCAGGCTTTGTTTCTGAAAAGCTGTAACCCTTTAGCCCGGTCCTTTCAGTTTTCTGGGCAAAAGTTTTCCCTATAACAAATGTTCTCTGATCGACCCAGGAAGAGCTTCTGGCTTGGTTTTCTTGATGTAAGGTCAGAATTGAACTTACGCTAACCTTTAATTAGCTTGTAAGAGCATCAAGTCAGTGAGAAAAGGTTAAGTTATTGAAACTAAGGTTAGAGATTAGAGTCCCCTTTAAGATGAGAGCCTAAACTTGTCCTGCGTTCCATTCTATTAACCAAAGGAGGTCTTCCTAAAGTGAAATTAAACTAAAAGCAAGCTACTAGCAGTCTGGATATGAAGCAAGCTTTTAATTTGAGGTCATCACAAGGGTAAGGTGGGTAGAAAGCTTACAACATTCCTAGTATGCTCCTTTCTAGACAAAGCGGTAAAAAAATTTGTGTTTGAGTTGAGGTAGGAAACTTTCTGCATAGAGGTATTATCCGTAGAATCTGACTTCTCTGGGTTTTCATGATGTTGAGGTAAAACATCTATGGTTTTATTCCTAATGGTTTTTTAATGAGAAAACAGAAGTGGCTGCCACGTTTACATGTACATGAGATTGTGGAGACCTGGAAAACACCAGCGGTTTTCAGGTCTACTGGGAAACACTTGGTCTCATGGAAAGTGGTTAGGACAAAAGAGCATCAAGCCCTGCCACAGAGCTTCCATGAAGGGAAGTCGCTCTGGGTTAGCCCAGAGCAGTAGACAAGACCAGAGACTGACAGGAGTGATTCTGAAGAGTCCAGTGAGTCACAGCAGGGTCTTGCCCTCACTTACGGTTTCCCACAGAATTAACTCAATGTATGGCAGAAAGCACCATTTTGTCCCCTACGCTACTACCTCTTAGATTGAGACTTTCGTGAAAGACCCCATACTATTTCAGGTCACCAAGAGCTTGGGTTCTTCTGCTCCAGTTCTCGGGAAAGGCTAGGCTACACATGCTGAGCTAGTCCAAACCTCACTACCTGGTCTAAGGGAGCCCAGTTGACCAGAAAGGAAAGGAGTAGCCAAGTGTTTGGACACTTGGCTATCTCTGCAGAAACACAAAGGCTATGACGAAGTAGGCTGAAAAGTCAGAGCCCCGATAGCCAGGGCCTCCCAGAGGCCTCTACTTAGAGCCAGCCATATAAATCCCCTTTCTAGTTGTTGCTCACTCCTAGTTTGAGTTACTCAACTACACAATTCAGTTGCAAAGGATGGAACACTAGGAACCAACATGGAAGAGATGCTGCCAAGCCTTGACAGCTTAGGCTCAAGGAATGGGGCTATGCAGAGGGGAGCCTCTCAAACTACCACACCTGGAACTGAAGCCAAGTGATCTAGGCAGAGGGAGTGCAGGGCCATCTGTCAAAAGCTACTTACAGAATTATCAGTATGCCCAGCTTCCTACTGATTACCACTGAAGCCTCATGGCCCAGAAACAGAGGTCACATTCTCAGCTTTTGGAAGAGCTTCAGTAACTCGTTCAAGACAAGCAATGTGGCAGGATCTAGACCCAAACTACATCTGGCCCCAAAGCCTGTGACATGAGCATTTTGGCCATATCACCTATCACACACTTCCCTGCCATTGAGGGTCTATTATGGAAAGCCTAGAAGTCAAGCTTTGTCATGAGTGGCTTTTCTGTACGAAGTTCAGAAGCTGTACTCTGCTTCTGAAGCCATCCATGTAGCAGCTCTGGCATGATTAAGTCAGAATACAGAAAGCCTAGACAACTGAGTTGACTAGCTCATCAGCAATAACTGACAGCCTTGAGTTCACCCACGTCACAAGTCTGCCTGTGGACTCAGCATGTTTCAGTCTATCAGTTGAACAGGCTGGGACCCTGTCAGGACTAGAAACTCGATTCTGTGAGCTTCAGATTTGGCCTTGGTAGAGCCCAACATCCCTCAACTGATGTTGGTTCTGTATCCATACCACATACCTTCTAGGCTCACAAGCTGACTCAGCCAATGTAAGGTTTTAGGGACCTATGGCACCTGGGTTTAAGTCACTGTCAGTTGTCCTCCACCCTTGCCCTTTTGCCTGTCCCCAGGAACTTGCTGCTCAATTAAGTGCTAGATCTGAAGGTCTGCATGAATTCCCGGCCATCTCCCCAGCACTTAATCATGAGAAGTTACAGCCGTGGCTAACAGTGAGGCCAATAGCACCTGTGGAGTATAACTGGCAAGGCTTCAACCTTCAAGAGTCAAGATTCTATCCATTCCTCTCGGACTCTTTTGTTAAGGCAGCTAAATAGTTTGAGTGATCCTTTCTGGATTACTGGCCCAGGTTTGACCTTACAAGATTCTTTATCTCCAACCATTTTTTGGGAACCCCAAACTAAGCAACTTTTCATCCATGCTTTAAGGATACTTGAAAAAAATTTCAGGAACAGCCATACAATCCCAGGTGCAAGGTCTGGGCAGGTGAGCACTAAGCAGACAATGAGACGCCATAGCTGGATTTAGAGAACCTGCCGGGCTACAAGAAGTATAAGGCAGTTTGGTTCGAGTGATGTACTTGTTACCAATTAGTGCTATTCTACACGAAGTGCAAATGCTAAGACAGCCGGGACAAGCTCAGTAGGAGTACTGTACCAGCTAACATTTACTTAGCACATACTAAGATCTACACTGCACTATATCCAGAATTACAAACCTCAGCTTAAGTGACTTTGGCAGGTTCAGTAACTTGCCCAAGTAGAACCATTAAATGATACATCCCAGGTTAACTCGAGCCCCTATCCTCCAAACCACTCGTTACACTGCTGTGAAATTATTTCCACATACAGAACCAGAGACTGATGCCCTGGTCAAGTACTTCCAATTCAAGAGTAGTTCTAGTCCTGAAACCAGACTCTAGCACTCCCACCTCCAATCTGAAGTTACTCACTCCTTTAGCACTTGAAGCAGCTTTCAGAAGAGATACTCAAGTTGTAAGTTCTCGTACTTTGGCCCAGAACTAGCTCACGGCTGGGCAGACCCCACACTGACTCCCCTTGCCCCGTTTTCAAGGCAGGCTAACAAGTCCCATGCAGCTTCCCAGTTCAGCAGGCTGAGCCACTCTTCCAGGCCTCTGGTTCTCCTGCTTCCCAGGCAAGCCGCATCTAGCGGTCAGGTGAGTAACAGCTTCCTCAGATTACCCTTGCGCATATTTAGGCTTTGCTTCTTCAAAGCCGTCTGCCTGTTTTAGTATAATACTGGGTCCCTCCACATTAGCTATACTGCATTAGGGCTGCGCTCTAGCCCATTCCTGAGAACTGCCAAGGAGAGTACCCACATGTAGCTGTTAACTGGAAAAACACTCATCCAGGTAGAGAATATGCCAGGCCATCACTTATAGCTGTGGTGTGGATGCCAAGCTCCTCTCAGGTGAGGTTGAGTATGGTGGCTTGGACCTAAGCCATCAGGGAGTTTCTAAAAGCCATTTGCTTACGATCCTATTAGAGACATTCCTGTGAGTTAAGTTCCTAAAGATAATCTATATCCCAGGGTGGTACCTAAGGAGTTTGAGCTACACCTATTGGAGAAAACCCTAGTTTTCAAGATTAATGCTGGAACTATCATCTGCTGTTCCAGTTTAACTCACTGGTATTCTCTTCAGTTGGAGAAAACAGTCTTCGGGTTTAAGATTTGGGCAGATTCAAAATCGTGCTTGTCGGGCTTTTGTAACACTTTTTCCCCTTTTGTCAGTGGCAGAAGAAAACGAGAAGAGATTTTAGGACAAGATTTTTCACAACAACCCTGTAGCTGCTTATTGCTAAAGGAATGTATTAGAAAGCTTAAAGAATAGAAAAACAAGCAAGGGGCCACTATCCCCAAGACCTGGTCACAGAAGCCGGACTTTGGATTTGCTCAAGGGTAGAAAAATGTTTGTTATAGCAGACAAGTCTCATTTGTCATCTAATAAAAGACCAAGATGTCACTACCTGCTGGAAGCTTTTGAGTTTTTGGCTTCCAAGTTCAGACAGCAAGTAATCCCCTCAGGTTAATATGTTGCAATTCAAACTTATCTGTACAAACCCTATTGCCTAGGAAAACTTACAGCTGTAAGGACCTTAGAGCTAGCCTCCCCACTCCAAGTACACACAAGAACACACCTAGCTCCCAAGGAACCCACTCCTAAGTAAGGTTCTCTCACGGAAGAAGAAACAGCTTTCCCAAGCACAGTCTTCGTTTTTTAGCTACCATAACAGTTTTAGGCGTTTTCCTGGGTCATACATATAATACCCAGGAGAGGTTCTCCCACAAAGGGACAAGCAAAAAAAGCAGTGGGTTCGGGGGCAGGATTTTTAACAGACCCGATAAGGACTCCTGCCTTTAAGTCAGTTTACCCGTTAGTTCCCTGAAAGTCACGTGAAGGAGGCCAGGAAACAAATGCTGCTTCACTCACCGTGGTTTAGATTTACTACACAGGCAAGGAGAAGAAAGCCACCCTAAAAATGCAGGGAAGTCAGCTTTCAGAGACCAGCGTCCCATCCTGATCCCCCAATCCCCTTTTCGTAACACTTTCTCGTAAAGGCTTTATACCCACATTTCAGAGCTCTTCCCTTTCCCACAGCCTTCCTCTTTAAAAAGAAAAGAGCTTTATACCAGCACTTCCCCATAATATTCCTATTATGGAAAGAAAGAAAACGGCCTTATACCAACACTTCCCAGCTTTTCCGTGGTTTCCCAAAGCCTTCCTATTTGGAAAGAAGGAAAAAAAGAAAGAACAGGCTTTATGCCAACAATTCCCAGCTTTTCCCTACTTTTTTTTCTCATAACCTTCCTATCTAGAAAGAAAAAGAAAGAGACTTTATACAAACACTTCCAAGCTTTTTCCTACTTTCTTCACTACAACCCAGCCACCCTACCACCCCCAGCCACAAGCTCTGCTTGTCTATTTTATAGACAGTGAAGACTAAGTTCCCAGCGCCCACCCACCAGCCCCAAAGCACTCTGGGTGAACAGCTACTCCTCTGGTTTCTCATTGGCTCTCTCACTGTCAATCAACAGCTTGTTCCTAGCCCAAGCATTTCCTGGTCCACGTTACCAATAGCAGAAAGAAGTGGAGGTTTATTGCTTGGCTGTAGACAGCACGAGCAAGAAAGGTAGCCTCCCACCCCGAGCAGCTGCTGTGATTAGAAAACGAGCGTGAGCCTCTTCACTGAAGGAATAGATGATTATCCTTTGGGTTCGCCCTGCTTCCCTGTTATTAAGAATCAGCTGAAATGCCTGAAAATTGTCGAGTTTCAGGGCTTTTCCCTGGAAATGGTGAGTTAGAAGGTCTTTGGGGAGGACCTTCGAGTCTGTGGTTTTAATAAGCACTTCCAGGGTTTGCGTCTTCAGGGAAGTTGGCCTAATACTAAAGAGTTGGTATTCAAATGTTTCTTTCCAAGAAATCACTTCTGTTACATTTAATCCAATATGCTGTTACTTGCTCCTTTAGATTTGAGCCTTCTCCAGCAGCTCCCACAAATAAGCAGTTTTTCCTGGAAAGGGAAATGCAAGACTTTAAGAGGGAGGTCGCTAGTATTGATTTTTGCAGTACACCCTCCCCCACCCTGCTACGACCTCAACCAGTGAGCCACAGATGTGTGTGGGGTATCCTTTACCGGCCTTTTCAGCTGGATCAGTTTGTGACCCTAAAGTGAACCTCCAGATGAATAAGGCGATAGTGTAGGCAGAAGCCTTCTAAAGGAGGGAACTGCGGTGTGGAATGAGAAAGTTTTAGAACCTCACTCGCAGGCCTAGACAGCCAGAAAACTGTGGGAATACTTTTGGGAAGAAGGTGGCTTTTTGTGCATCATGGGCTGTGGCACGAGAACTTGATTTACACCCACCCTAGTATCAGAAATGCTCCAAGAAAAGAGCAAAGGTTAATTACCATAGATTTTTTGGGTTTTGGTAGTAATTTGCAAATTGATTCTGTAAGCGTCATTAGTTTCCTAATCAACAGTAAATTCACTGCTTCTCTCAAAGTTTCTTTCATTTTCCTAACTTCCTGTCTGTATTCTTGCTGTTTCTTAAACCAGGAATGTCCTTTCTCTCATGTACACAAATTAAAATTCTAATGATTATTTGAGACCCAGCTGAGATGCTAAATCTTTGTGGGAGTCTTCTCTAATTTCCCGCTTTGGTTCTACCTGGCCCATCAAGTATTTATCAAACAGTTTTTGAGGTGCAGGTGATTTGGGAACAGAGATGGCCCAGGTCTGGTCTTCTCTCTAGTGAATCTCACACCCTAATTAAAAAACCGCTCTTTGCTGTGCTCTATTATAGCATCACATCTACCTCCAACACTTTATTTTCTGTGCATTTTTTGCTATCATATTGGTCTGTATCACTATATTTTGAGTTCCTGGAAAAGTGGTAGAATGACTTCAACTCTATGCCAAGAATGTGGTACAAATGTAACATGTGTTTCCTGAATAGATGAATGAATGGATGAGAGGAGGAGATGGCTGCAAAGAAATCAAATTCAGCCTTCTTCAATATTTTATCTTTAGCCTCAGAATTCAGTCCTGTGATGAGATTAGAGAAAATTCTGAAATCTCTTGGACTTTGGAAATGGTTTCAACTCCATAAAGCTGGCCTATAAGATCAGGAAGAGCAAAGATTACCAGAATTATAGAGGGAAAAGATTTGAGGACAAGAACTAGCCCTCTTGTCCCTTATTCCCAATTTATGAGTTCAAGTCCTACCTGACCCAGGTATGAATAAACTTTAAGAATCTGAAAGGTGGTATAGTATAATGCTTAAACATGCAGATTCTGGATTTGTATCCTCACTCTGTGGCTTACTAACCATCTAACCTTATGTGACCTTGTGCAAATTACATAATCTCTCTAGGTTTCAGTTTCTTTATAAATAAAATGGCGATTTTATGACTATAATAGTACCTCCCAGGATTATTAGGAATGTTAAATAAGTTAATATATAGAAAACATGTAGAACAGTGATTGGAACATGCTACTGAATTATCACCTATAATATTGCATAAATAACATTGCTCAATAAATTTACTAACTTATGAGAGCTGAAAAAAGATTCACAAGGCTTTAGTCTACACAGATGTAGAAGCCTTCTCTAATTTCTCAAGGCTATAGTCTACACCAATGTAGGCTGAAGCCTTCACTACAGTGGCATATCGGGAATTGCTGGAAAATTAACAGACTGTTGTTACCAGTCCCTAAACCATTAGAGCGGCACCCATACCTTTCCTTTCTTAGTGCATGTGCTCCTATTAGAGACAGTGCCCTGAACACAAAAGGACCTTGTGTGGCTCAGGGTGGGGGTGCTGATTAATGTGTCTGTGTCCTTGTCACTGGAGAAAATGGCTTCTCATCCCATTGCAGAGAAAAAGCAGATCATAAATTATTAATTATGTCTGTGATTCATAATGACTTTGCATCATGATCATGGCCATTGTATAATGACAGCCAGAAAAAACTATCTTTTTGGTTTCTAATTAGGTTCTGAACTCTAAACTTGTGCTTCACATTTGCCTGTGCATACAAATCACCCAGAGATCTTGTTTAAAACATATATTCTGATTCAACAGGTCTGGGATGAGGTCTGAGAGTCTTCATTTCCAGGATGTTTCCAGGTGATGCCCTTGTGCTTGATACTGGGAATCTACTTCAAATAGCAAGGTCAAGACCTGTATCCAGCAGCATCATTATCCAAGACACTTTTTAGAAAGGCAAATTCTCAGGTCCCACCTCAACATCAGAAACTTACTTAAACAAGCCCTCTAAGGGATGTTGATGTATACTCACTTTTGAGGACCACTTTGTAGACTATGCATGCATGAACTATACTCACTAGAAGAACAGATAAAGTTTTAGAAAAATTGTATTCCATTAGCATAGAACCTCAAGTTAAGAAGACCTGCCCAAAAGGTTACCCAAGCCTTCCTCCAGTTCCATCATGGAAAAAACCCTTTGCTCAGGGGCTGGCTGGCAGGAGGTGCTGGTGTCCACATCCTTGTCAGAACCCTCCGCAGAATGAGCAGCTAGATCACCCAGTCTGATGGTGCTTTCCTGTAATACCAGACCCTGGCCTCCATGAAAGGAAGCCTTATAGTACGCATTTTGTGGAGGAGAGAAAAGAAAGGATTTCTTGGGGTTAATAGAAAGTGGATGTAGAGAAAGGGAATTCTCCAGCCTTGCACCACTAACATGATGCGATATACACAAACAGACATGATTCATGCTTGTGGACAAAACTGACCTGCACTGGGGTGAGTGACAAACCAAAGTTTCCAGGCCCGCATGCCCAGAGGAGAAGAGAAAAAACAGAGGAACCCTTTCACTAAATTCATCAGCTATCTTCTGATCCAGTTAATTAACTGGGAAAACTAAATTAAACACCAAAGCCTTATTCATCTTTTAGGGGACCTTTGATGTCTCTGAGCACCAATGCCAGGGAGGTGGGCAGTGCCGGGCCAGGACATCTCCCATGGACAGCCAAGCAGCATTCTGTTCATGGTGGCTATTAAACTGCTTTCTTGGGAGTTGCTTTAGATCCATGTGGAATAGATTAAGAGTCTGTTTTGAATCCCCCAGCGTTTCCTGTGGAGCATAATTAGAGATGCATTGGAATAGGAATTCAGTCAACACTTACTTTAATGAGAGGTCTGAAGAGTACAGCCCAGCAAGGCGGAGGGCGGAGGGAGTGGAGTGTGGAGATGAGGAGGGCAGGGACACTGGCACAATGACGGGGCAAAGGAATAAAGGTTTTTGTGAGGAGCTGAATGGAAGTGAAGGAACCATAGGGGATAGAGAAATGGAGAGTGAGAGAAGCAAGGAAATGAGAAGTGAGTAGCATTCACTGTGTCCTACCACATGCCAAGCACCTTTTCAAAGATGATGAGAAACACAGTTGAGAAAATGATACTGGAAATCCATGGAAAGGTTTACAGCCTTGGATTCTGATGTTTGTCTTGAATCTATCTGGAGACAGTAGAGAGATAGGGAGAATGGGCTTTGTCATCAAACGGACCTTGGTTTGATTCCTGGTCCAGTCCTTTTTGAGTTGTGTGACTGTTGGCAAGTCACTGACCTTCTCTGAAACTGTTTCCTCATCTGTCAAATGAAGGTTAACTGTACAATGTTTATAACACTCTTAGAGTGGACTACTGTCTAGAATATATTAGGTGTTCAATAAATTATTGTTACAGTGAGGAATCTGAGGATGAGAGAGGTAAGCTTTGCCAGGGAGCTCATCACTAATCAGTAACAGAATTGAAATGTAAGCCCAAGTTTGCCTGATCTCCACTGCTACCAAGCAAAATTACCATGACTGACCTTCTATGGGGGAAGACAAGGTCCGTTCTCTATAGGGTAAACCTTGACACATGCATCGAGGTGCTGGCACTGAGTGGAGAGCTAAAGCAGCTTCAGTTTCAATCAGGTATGGCAGGATTTTAAAATTTAGATTTGGTGGCATTACTTCCACAGACTGGTTTTTCACAGCGTATGCCCTTGCTTGTCTATCCTCATAGGTATGTGAAGATGCATCCCTTGCTGAGTTCATTCCAGGGCTTACTGAGTTCCTATGATATACCTGGAACTATTTGTGTACCCTAAGGAGCATATAGTCTCATTGGAGAACTGTGACGGTCCTTGTGGTGTGCTGCAGCTCATGTTCTGGAACCTGCTGCAAGAGTCTGCCTTTGGGATCCATGGAAGGGTGCACACTGAGGTCACAGTCTTCCCCAGGCTGTTCCCAGCCCATCACAGCACATGCAGGAGTACTGGAGCTGGGCCACTTCTGCCCAATGTCGGACTTCCTTATTAGGGAGTCTCTAGGGCTTACCATCACCTGGAATCTGCACTGCAGTCTGAGGCTTTTCCTGACTCTCCCTTCTCCACTATTCTTCCTTGGGGAGTCAGACATCCATCACAGTCTGAACTTTCCCTGGCTGTGCCTGCTCCTCTCATCTTTCACAGGAGTTTCCCCTAAAAAACATTTTACTTCTGTCTTGATGTCTGTTTCCCAGAGCACCTGCACTGACAGAAGAACCACCATCCATTATTTATTTTATAGCTGACAATATAAGCCGATTGATCAATAGAACTAACACTCCTCGTAACTCCCTCTTGAGCCATTCACTTCTCTCCAACTCTCACCACCTTAGTCCACCGTCAGTCAGGATCCTGGAAGGACACAGAAGGCATACTCTGAGTAATTGGTTGAAAGTTAACAAAGGGACAGTTTAGAAAGCTGTAATTCCAAGCTGTAATCTTAGCTTAAGGAAGCAAGGGAGATGGCCTGCCTGCATCAACTCGAGGTGAGATATAATGCATCGACTTTATTCCCTCCCAACTTCTTTAGGTGCTTCCCCCTGGACCAAATCTAAGTGGAAGCCAGAGGGGACAGGAGCCCACTGATGGAAGTCAGCGTTAGCTTCCCAAGACACAGAACGGTTGAGAGTGAATCTCGAGAGGCAAAAAGATGATATTTGGCATGTTTGTGCCTTACCCAAATATTTGTATCATCTTGCTGTCCCTCTTTTAATCTTTCTCCTCATTAAAACCAGGGTGACATTTTAAAGACAGTGCCAACCCTTCCAGCTACCTAAACCTGCTCAGTGGCCTTGCCCACCCACTCATGATTAAGGATCTGACTTCCACTCTATCCTTGCTTCTTTTAACAACTGTAGCTTAGGTGGTGGTAAACACCTGACCTTGCCCTCCTTCCTGGAATGCCCTCCTCTCACCTCAGCTCTTTACCTGGCACCTTTAACTCATTCTTCAGATCTCAGCCACCATGTCACCTCCTCTGAGAATCCACTGTCCCCTGCCCCTTTTATGCCAAACAGGTTCCTCTAAGTTTTCTCCCATGACTCTTGAATTTTGCCTTCATGACACATTAGTTTCCAATTATTCATTTACATACAGGGCTATTGGATTAATGACACCTCCCATAAAGACTGATTTCTATGATGTCAGGGACTTTGCTTGGCTCAATGTTGCCTTCCATGAGGCTAGCACAGTGTGACACTCTGTAGGTGTTTGTTTGACAAATATATAAAATGCTATGGACAAGCCAAGCTATATATTTCGGAGTTGAAGATGGTTCTGATTTTAAACATTTCTTACTTCCAGTCAAGCATAGCAAAATCCTGGAACTTTCAATATTTATGTAGCCAAAATGTCTCTCTTGTTTGCTCACTTGTATGCTTCCTTGTGCACCACTAACTGAGCAGCTACTATGGACCAGATGCTCTGGAAAATGTTGTTCTGAAGGGGAGTACTTATCTGCACCAGTGGTGCACCTATTTTACACACTAGGAAGTAGACCCAGAGGTAAGGAACGAGTTGCTGTCTGATGACCTGATGAGGAATAGAGTCCATCACTTTTATTCTTCCATGCCTCCCTCTCTCCAGGCACACCTCCCAGATGCATCTTCTTCACAGGGTTGTTGCAAGGTTTGAGAAAATGAACTAATATACATGACTGAGAATAGCGTCTGGACCACAGTAAGTGTAATCACAGTTGGCTCATATGAATATGTCATCTTCTTCCTCCTTAAACTTCCAAACTTTTGCATGAAATATTATTCCTGCCAAGTGAACCTTGTCCTTAAAAATCATATCAATGTAACTTTATAGAAATATCAATTCAAGACATATGGCCCGGGACACTATTCAAAGCTTACACCTCTGGATTCTACTGGCTCTAAGAAATCTGAAGAATTTATGTCAGTGATTCTGAAGTAGGCATGGAACATAGATCCAACCCCTCTAAAGTGAGGAAGCTGAGCCGCAGAAAGGGAACCCAGCCTGTTCTCATGTCAGAAAATGCTACAGATTCACCCACTGTTCAGTATTCATTTCTGGTTCTGAATGCCAGCCTTGTCTTCTCTGCCCCTTAGGGCTTCCCTGATCTCTGGGCATTTGCCTAGGAGGGGTACAGCACCCGCTTCCTTACCCTGCCATTTTTCCTTACCATCCCTGTAGTCACACACTGTAGCCCTCTCATTGGAGGTGGTCTACTGTAAATCATGGAGGGGTGATGGCACATCACATATATACCCCCTCTTCCATTTCTTCTCCCCAGCTCTTCTCCTAAGCCCTGATTTTTTAAAATCTTGCCCAAATTTCTACCTGAGGGCTCTGGGGAGTAATGCCCCACAAGCCATAAATTCTCATCAGATAGATTTTATTTAACCATATGTATTTTGACTTCTTTCCAATCTGATTCTGGCATAACGTTACATGACAAAGAAGAAGGTCAAAATATTTTACTCCAAAAACATGTATTTTGCCATATTTTGAAATAGTCCTGCAAAGCTGTCCTTTGTATGGGAAAATGTGCATCTGTAAAGAATCTCTATTAACATAGCTAGGTCTTTTTCTTCCAGGCTCTCCCAATCCTGAAGAGATTATGTAAGAGTCTAGCACATTTTAAAGGTCTGAAGAGGAAATATTTGTCATCTGTTGTCTCTAAGGGCAGCCACTCTACAACTTCAAAAGAACCTTGGTCTCCACAATCTCTTATCTTAGCCTGAACATTTCCTTTCTATTCATCCCAGGTCTTTAGATAAACTCAACCAATTGTCAATCGGAAAATGTTTAAATTTACCTATAGCCTGGAAGCCTCCACTTTGAGTTGTCCTGCCTTTCTGGACCAAATCAATGTATCTCTTAACTGTATTTGATATCTCATGGCTCCCTAAAATGTATAAAACCAAGCTACACCCTGACCACCTTGGGCACATGTTCTCAGCACCTCCTGAAGGCTGTGTCACAGGCTATGGTCACTCATATTGGGTTCATAATAAATCTCTTCAATTATTTTAGAGTTTGACTCTTTTTGTTGACAAAGCCATTACCACCTTTATTATTTCCATGGATTAGTTATTAGTAAAACCATTTTATAAATGAAGAAACAGAAGCTCAAGTAACGTGGCTACATTTATACATGGATCCAACCTGAGTTTATGTGGGAGAATCTAGGGCTAACTCCAAGTCTAAGATTTCATATGCTGATAAAGACATACCTAAGACTGGACAATTTTTAAAGAAAAAGAGGTTTAATGGACTCACAGTTCCACATGGCTGGGGAAGCCTCACAATCATGTTGAATGGCAAAAGGCACATCGTATATGGCAGCAAACAAGAGAATGAGAACCAAGTGAAAGAGGTTTCATTTTATAAAATCACCAGATATCATGAGGCTTATTTACTACTGTGAGAACAGTATGGAGTAAACCATCCCATGATTCAACTATCTCCCACTGGGTCTCTCCCACAGCATGTGGGAATTCTGGGAGATACAATTCAAGGTAAGTTTTGGGTGGGTACACAGCCAAATCATATCAACATCTATAAAAAATCACATCTGCCCAACACTGCAAAATTTGTATGAGTCTTCAACATATCCTTAACTTGGCTGTATTATCCAGTGAGAGTATCTCAGGGGTGCTCTCTTCTTCCAGGAACCCCCTAATCAGGGGATAATTGATCTTTAACAGCTAAAGTTGCTCAGTGTTTTTCTAATTGCACATGGAAGTTAAAAGAAACAAACAAAAACAAGAAACTTCTTAATGTTTGACCGTGTTGCAATTACCAAATCAAGTTCTGTGCAACCATCACTCCATCAACTGAGCCAGCACACAGTTGATCATGATGAATACATTCTAAGGAAGGGTTTACGACAGTAGAAAAATTAATCATTTTTTTTACTATACCCTTATCAGACCAGGGAAATCAATCTTGATGTGGGCATAAAAATTCCCCAACCCTTGTGTTTCTTTGGCTATCTATTTTCCTTAGTAAAGATTATAAATCACAGCATTTTCTTCTTCATCCTGTGAAGAGAAATTATAGCCCAATTCTGGGCTAGTGCAACCCACTAAGTATGGAAGTGGCCACAGTGCATATGCACCGAGCAAGCTCATGTGAACAAAGCCCCCTGCATCTGGGCCAGGAGAAGGAAATAGATGACACCTATGATTGCTGCAAAGATCTCTGGCAGGCAGGGCTTTCTGAAAGCAGTTTTGAGTTAAAGGCTGCAGTGAGCCATGTATCCTTGCAAAACATTTGCTCTTTTCCCTCAGCTAAAATGGCAGATTTACTAAGGTGACCAGATACTTTTGGGAATGAAAGAAGGCTCTGTTAGTCATGTAGGAACAGTAAATGCAAACTAGACTGTCCCAGTGATATGATTTGTCTGTGTCCCCACCCAAATCTCAACTCGAATTGTATGTCCCAGAGTTCCCACATGTTGTGGGAGGGACCCAGGGGGAGGTAATTGAATCATGGGGGGGCAGGTCTTTCCCATGCTATTCTCCAGATAGTGAATAAGGTTCATGAGATCTGATGGGTTTGTCAGGGGTTTCCACTTTTGCTTCTTCCTCATTTTCTCTTGCTGCCACCATGTAAGAAGTGCCTTTCACCTCCCACCATGATTCTGAGGCCTCCCCAGCCATGTGGAACTGTAAGTCCAATTAAACCTCTTTTTCTTCTCAGTCTCAGGTATGTCTTTATAAGCAGCATGAAAATAGACTAATACACTCAGATAAACTAGACATGGACATGTGGTCTCCATAGGTTTAGGAAGATACAACTGATAACAAGGTGCAATTGACTGAAATTTTGCATCCACTCAAAATTTATATGTTGGAAACCCTAATTCCAATGTGATCATATTTGAAGGTAGAATCTTTGGGAAATAATTAGGTCATGAAGGTAGGGCCCTCATTAATGGAATTAGTGCTCTTTTAAAAAGAGACCAGCAAGTGACCTCGCTCTCCATTGACCATATGAGGGTATAGCAAGAAGACAGCCATCTGAGAACCAGGAATTGGGCCCTTACCAGACATTGCATCTGCCAGCATCTAGATCTTGGACACCTTATCTTGCAGAACCGTGAGATATTTAAGTTGTTTAAGCCACCTACTTCATGGTCTTTTGTTTTAGCTGACTAAGACATAAGGGAAAGGTGCAAGAAAATGTTAAGATGGCAGATCTGGCAGAACCAGGAATAAATATGCTAGCTTCTGTTTATATGAAGACAAATGCTTGCAAATAAAAACGTAAGAATTCAACCAACAGTTTAAACCAAAATACTTATCTAAATGCCTCCACCCTCCACCCCCTGCAAGGCATGCTGTGAAGACTCATAACAGTGTTTATAGAGCACTGAGATGAGCCTGACCAGAGAGTGTACTCATTAACATTAGCAAAAAATATTATTAGGGGAGGAGTGAGAAGAACAGTATCAGCAGTAGCATCAGTCATGGGAGGAGTAATAGCAGTAGGCATAGTGTCATCATGCTGTGGGAGAGGGGTGTAAGCGAAAGGCCTTTCCAATAGACCAGAGGGGGTCAACCCAGTCACCTGAGGAAGAAGAGGAACGCAGAGTGGAGGTGGGATGTAGTGGGACCCTTTGTAGTTTCAGTTTGTAAATTTAGCCTTCAAGAGGCAGCATGAAATGGGCATCCAATCTGGAATTAAAGACTGACCTATCACCAACTGGCAGTGAGAAGTTGGCCTCGTTATCTGAATTGCCTGACCCCGGGCTCTTCATACATGAAATGCGAAGGATAATGGGCACTTCCTATGGTTACAGAGAGGATTAAATGACTGCAGGTGGCCAAGTGCCTGGCACAAAGGAGTTGTTCAGCAAAGTACTGTCCCATCCCTGGAACTTCATATATAATGAGGGGGAAACTGTGGGAGGCACAATTGAGAGAAAACTCATGTTCTATGTACTTTTTTGAAACCATGGTATTTTTTTTTTAACTACACTGAGCACACAGCTTAGCCACTTTTAAAGAAAACAAAATCTAAAGTACATTAAATCACAATACATTTGTATTGCTGTTGTTTCTGGACTGTGAGCTCCCAGGGGTAGGGATTGCAGTGGTCAGTTGTATTTCATGTGATGATCCCAACACTGTGCCTTGCCCGTCACTAGGGCATAGCAAGCGCATTCTAAAGATGCTTTTAACGATTCCCAAAGCATTTATGCTGAAGAAATCAAAGGAAATGTTAAATTCTTTTATTTTTTTTTTTTTGAGACAGAGTTTTGCTCTTGTTACCCAGGCTGGACTGCAATGGCACGATCTCGGCTCATCGCAACCTCCACCTCCTGGGTTCAGGCAATTCTCCTGCCTCAGCCTCCTGAGTAGCTGGGATTACAGGCACATGTCACCATGCCCAGCTAATTTTTTGTATTTTTAGTAGAGATGGGGTCTCACCACGTAGACCAGGATGGTCTCGATCTCTTGACCTCGTGATCCACCCACCTTGGCCTCCCAAAGTGCTGGGATTACAGGTGTGAGCCACTGCGCCCGGCCTAAATTCTTAGTTTTGTCTCTTTAAGGCAAAATTTGAAAACTAAGATCTCCCTGTTATAATATAGAATTGTTTTTGGCCTTTCAAAATAGGCTTTTTCCAATAAAAATCTTCCTTTAAAGTGCTTGATGATCATTTTGTCCTTACAAACATGCACACGTGATTTCCACACGTCTATGCACACCAGTTTAGGAATCCAAAAATAGCCCTTTCCTATTGTTACACCTGACTTATTTCTCTCTTCTGTCTTTGTAACTTTGGTTTGATGTTCTGAGATATTTACATAACCCTCTCTTTTTCTGTGGATTCTATAAAAGAAGGAACTAGCTTAGCAGTGTGGTGGAAATCTGAAATTTGGCAAAGACCATCAGAAGAGGCTTGTGAAAATGCCACAGAAGTTTATGTTCCCAATAAATAAGGTGATGACTAATCTAGGGTAACATTTTTTCTTGATGAGAAAAGAATTGACATGGTGTACACTTTTCCTTTGCTTTTAGGTTTCAAATTTCATTTCATTCTGGCACTAGTGTGTAAGACTCAAAAAGGCCCTTCTTTTCCACATTTCCAATGTGCTATGACTTAGGCATTGTCTTGGGCTGTTCTCAAACTCCTGGGCTCAAGTGATCATACTGCATCAGCCTCCCAAAGTGTTGAGATTATAAGTGTGAGCCACCATGGCCAGTCTGTTTTACTTGCCTATATTGTTTAAAAATAGAGTTTTGCTCTGTTGCTTGGCTGGAGTGCAATGGCATAATCATAGCTCACTGTAAACTTGAACTCCTAGTCTCAAGCAGTTCTCCCACCTCGGCCTCCCAAAATGCTGAGATTATAGGTACAAACCACTATGCTTGGCCTGTCAGTATTATCACATTCGCAATTAAATTTCATCATGAGTTTTAGCGAAGACAAATTGAACCATGGTATAGCCCCTGGCCCTCTGAAACTCATGTTCTCCCAATGCAAAATACATTGACCTCATCCCAATAGTCCCAAAGTCTTAACATGTTTCAGAATCAACTCGAAAGTTCAAAGTCCAAAGTCTCATTTGTGACTCAGGTAAACCTCTTCTAGTTATGAGCCTGTAAAATTAAAAACAAATTATATACTTCTAAGATACAAAAATGAGGGGACAGACATGGGGTACACATTTTCATTCCAAAAGGTAGAGATAGGAAAAATACATTAAAAAGGTATAATCTGCCCGAAGTCTAAAACCTAGCAAGGCAGACATTAAATCTTAAAGCTCCAGAATAATCTACCTCATGAGCCATCTCCTGGATACACTGGGGTAGGAGGTAGGCTCCCAAGGCCTCAGGCAGCCCTGTCCCAATGGCTTTGCTGGGTTCAGCTCACTTGGCTGTTCTCCCAAATGGGAGTCCAGTACCTGTAGCGCTCTCAGGTGAATGTTTCGTGCTGCTGGTGGTTCTATCCTTCCAGAGTTCTGGCAGTAGCTCCACTCTTATGGCTCCATTAGGCAGTGCACTGGTAGGGACTCTCTGTGGTAGCTTCATTCCTATGGCGGGGTCTGTAAGCTGTTTGACATATCCTTTGAAGTCTAAATGAAAGTTGCCATTACCCCAAAGTCCATGCACTCTCTGTACCTTCAGAGTCAGCACCATGTGGACCACTGCCAAGGCATATGTCTTGTGCCTTCTGGGGCAGTGACGTGAGCCACCTCTGGACCTGCTTGAGGCATGGTGTGTTGCTGCCAAGGTTTACAGCTTGTACCTTTCTGATGAACAGGTTGAGTTGCACCTGGGACAATTTGAGCAACAGGTGGGGTGACTGAGTGCTGCACTAGAATTTGGGGAGCAGACATGCAAAAAGCAGATGCTTGAGGCAGTGCAGGGCAGCAAGTAGGGAGCTCTTTATGCACTCAAGGCCCTCACATTCTCAGCCTGTGAAGAGAGGGCCAGCCTCAAAGATCTGAAATGCCTTCAGGGCCATTCTATCATTGTCCTGAGAATTAACACCTGCCTTCCTTTTAGCCATGCTAGTTTCTTTTTTTTTTTTTTGGAGGGGGGGGGAGGAAGGCAGGAAGGGAGGGAAGAAGGACGGTAGGGAGGAAGGAAGGGATGAAGGAAGGAAGGAAGGAAGGAAGGAAGGAAGGGAGGAAACAGGGAGGGAGGGAGGGAGGGAGGGAAGGGAAGGAAGGAAATCAAGCAATGAGAGAGACATTGCCGACCTGGATCTAGAGATTTACAAGTTGATTTCTTTTTTTTTGAGAGAAGGAAAGAAAAATAAATAAATAAATAAGTAAAGGAGAGGAAGAAAGAGGAAGAGAAAGAGGGAGAGTAAATGGAAATATTGCTTTATTTTGAAAAAAATTGGGTATTATTAATGGCCAATCAATGTTTCATTTAAACTTATGGGTAGGTGTGATGTGGTATTGACAAGAATGTATATTTTGTGTATTTGAAGTGGAGAGCTCTATGAATATTTATTAAGTTTACTTGTTCCGGATCTGAGTTCGAGTCCTTGATATCCTTATTAACTTTCTGTCTCATTGAATCTAAGTCTCGTATCTGGGTGTTAGGATTGTTAGCTCTTGTTGTTGCATTGATCCTTTTACCACTATATCTTTGTTGCTTTAAAATCTATTTTCTCCGATACGAGAATTGCAACTCCTGCTTTTTATTTATTTATTATTTATTTTTGCTCTCCATTTGGTTGGTAAATCTTTCTCCATCCCTTTGTTTTGAGTCTTTGTGTATCCTTGCATGTGAAACAGGTCTGGATGTAACATGTCATTGGGTTTTGGCTGTGTCTTTTGATTGGGGGATTTAGTCAATTTATATTTAGGGTTACTGCCATTTGATGTTGACTGGCTGTTTTATCCATTCGTTGGTATAAATTCTTCTTTATGTTGGTGCTCTTTACTTTTTGGTGTATTTTTAGAAAGGCTAATACTGGTTGTTTCTTTCTGTGTGTAATGTTCCTTTCAGAAGCTCTTGTAAAGCAGGCCTGGTGGTAATAAAATCTCTGAGTTCTTGCTTGTTCATAAAAGATTTTATTTTTCCTTCAGTTGTGAAGCTTAGTTTGGCTGGATATGAAATTCTGGGCTGAAGATTCTGTTCTTTGAGAATGTTGAATATTGGGCCCCACTCTCTTCTGGCTTGTAGAGTTTCTGCTGAGAGATCTGCTGTAAGTCTGATAAGCTTGCCTTTGTGGGTAACATGACCTTTCTCTCTGGCTGCCCTTAGTATTTTCTCCTTCGTTTCATGCTAGTTTCTTAACAAACTTGTCTCTGGGTTATGCCCTTTCCTGAAAATGCTCTTACATTCTCTACCACTTGGCCAGGTAGCAAATTTTCAAAATCTTTCTGCTCTGCTTCCCTTTTCTCTAGCAGCTCACTGTAAGCAGTTAAAAGTAAGCATTCAGCAGCTTTGCTGCTTAGAAATTTCTTCCACAAGATGTGCTGTCCCATCACTCATAAGTTTAGCGTTTCACAAAGTCCCAGGGCATGAACATGAGGCAGCCATGTTCTTTGCTACCATATAACAAAGATGGCTTTACTCCAGTTCCCAGTAAGACATTTTCATTTCCATCTGAGGGATCATCAAAATAGTCTTTACTGTCTGTATTTCTATCAGCATTCTGGTTATGAATGCCTAACCAATCTTTAAGAAGTTCC